ACCATAATTATTTGCATATTTCGCCACATTTATTGTACAACTAATGCTCCAGAATAACTTGTTGGGGAGTAGAGTACAACTGTGCTACATCTAACAAAGATACAACTTAATAAATGCTTATCCAGGTAGAGCCTGTATGGTTACTTCTATTATTTGCAACAACAATAAATATTGTTCACATTAGGCACAGAACAATTTAGGATAAAGCTTTTGTGGTGTACAGCTTTGTAAATACTGTGAAGATTTCGAAGCATAAGTTTGGAAACTCTTCATCATAATTCTCTCAAAATCCTCAGTGTTTGCAGCTTCAAGTAATTCAAAACAGTACTATTTATATTAGCTTAGCTCTGTGAAAGAGTGCCAGCCATAGAAACATGATGAAATCCCTGTGTTGAAATACCTCACCATAACGTTCAAAACTAATTCAATTATATGCATCACCAGTTCAATAGACCTACAGAATTGGGTTATTGTCTGAAATGATGAAAAAAGAAAAATACCAGTACAATAAATCTTGTGTGAATGAAGTTGAATGAAAAAACGATTTTCACAGTTGCCAAAATGAGCTTCAAGAACAAGGGATAACAGATGATTTCTGCAGTCATTTGCCAAGTTATTTACTCTGCACCAACTACAGATCCTATTTACTATGCATCTTCAAATGTAGTCATATATGGAGGAAATAATATGATGTAAGGCAAACATCAACAAGATTCAGAAACAGCACACTGGGAACTTTGAATTATAAGACATATATGCATACTGCATATATAGCTGCCTTTAGTCATAAAAAAGGACTATGGAATCATATACCATTCTAGAGGAAGAAATATTCCAAAAACGTACAGAATATTTGATTATTATACTATAGAGGCTGGCTCATTAGATCAACGGTAATTGTTTGGGTTTTGATTGACAGCTCAGTCCATTATGAGTTTCATGATGTGAACCAGGAGATTCCAGTGGGTTCAGGAGTTTCTGTGGAGTTTAGAAGCTGTCATATTTTTTGCGTTAGTCCTTTCACAATTAAGTTCCTTATTGTCACCCCTGGAAGTCTAAAGGCGAGATGAAATTATGCACCATGAACCACCAACAACTTTAGTTTTTAGGTACAATCTGGTTCCCCAGTTTCATATAATGTTAAAGTATTAATATGTCACCAAACAATGAAACACTTTGAGGCTGGTAAGAGGAGATGAATTAACACCACCATTGCCCAAGCCTGTGCTACCTGCTCCAATTTGTGTCTGCAGTTTTATCAAAATGATGTAATAGTTGCAGAGGACCCTGAGATAGCACAGCCCCCAAGAGATTTCCATATATTCCTTGCAGAACCTTGATCTGCTGAGTCGTCATATTGACGCACATAGTGTCCAAGTGGGCAGAATAATCATCAGACTTCAATAAAGCAGTGTAGTTATAGTTCTCTCTCTGAATATAAGATCAGTTGGTCCAAGACTCTACTAATGCCAGTTATTAATCCTTAAACACATCTGCACTCCCATCTCATATTCCAGTGGTATTTAGGTGTTGACATTTATCCCTCTGTCCAATCCTTTTCCATGAAAAACTTTCAAAGCATCTTAAGATAAGTAGAAAAAAAAAGAAGCTGTGAATAGATGGACAAAATTAGCTTACTCGTTGTCAGCCTAAATTTCCATAATTGAAATGGATGTTCTCCCCAGGGTAAATGTATTTATTTATTCATTCATTCATTCACCCCAGCTGATACCCCTTCCTCCTTGAAGTGGCTTTTGGGACAAATTAGATTACGAAATTTCTAAGTTTGTGTGGGGTGGTAAACAACCACGTATTGAGCTAGCAACATTGTAGAGAAGTAAAAGTAATGGTTGTGTCCTGTGTCAGCAGGGTTTGACCCTAAGGCTCAGGTCTCATGGAGACCAACAGAGGAGAACATAGCATATTCTCATTGGTTACAGGACCTTGTTTATTCTGCCTTGCCTTCTAAACTTGCTAAGCATCAGCTGGGACCAATTACATCTTTTTTACTATGAACATGGCAACTAGTAGAAAATTATACCCAGACCTCTGGGTATGGCATACTCATAGCACTTTATTGATTTTAGTCTTATCACATGAGAATCCCCCTTTCAGTCTCCACAATGGTCTTCTAAAGGTCTCAACACTTATCACAGGGAACAATAATGGAATGAGATCACTTAACGACTTATGTTCTGCGCGTGATATGGCCTAGAACGTCATTTTTCTTTTACCCTCAGCTCAGGTTGTCAATGCGGACATATGGGATCCCATGGGGTGTAGCCCTAAGCATTATCTTATGAGATAGTGCTATCTTATAGGATTATTATTAAGTAATTCAAACTATTTTTCTTTTCTTCCTTTTTTTGATCTGTTATGGCCAATTGCAAGGAATGTTGGGTTGCTAGCAGGATTGGGAGTATGGGTATGGATTGATTGTAATGCTTTTGTATATGTGTCTGTTTGTTATGTTAGTTAATGTGGTAATAAAAAGTTGATTAAAAAAAGCAGTGTAATTAGTGAATAAGTATACAGTGCAGTCTGTAAGTTGAAGGAGACTGACAATGACATTCCCCATTGTTTTGTTTTGTACTCCAGAAATGAAATGATATACTTGATATGACTTTCAGCTTTAAGAGTGTTGATATTTGTATTAGGTTTTCCCCAGGAAATTGGAAAGTGGAGGTGGTAAGCCACCCAGTTTCTGATGCATCTTGTGACATGACAAGGCTGAATAAAATGACCGAATCAATATCTTGTATGGCAGGAGGACAGTAATCCAAACATCCAGAAGCTTAAATGTTCTTGACTGGCCAAGTACAGATAATCACATTTCCGTAACACCAAGCAATAAGGAATGATGCCAAACCTGTCAAAACCTTTACCAGGGAAGGTGATGTCATTGGATCATAGATTTCAGACAGTCTTTCAGTACAAACAATTTGTAACCAGATTAACCTTTTGTAGTGTTAGTGACATCTATTGACCAGAAGTAATGTTATGACCTGTACTGTAATTGTAAAGTCAATAGTGTTCCATTGCCTAAGATATGTATTGTTAAAACTCCCGAGAAACAACCATGGTCACATCTGGCAGGTAGATTTCAGCAATAACCCTCTAATGGAGGGACCAGTTGGCAATGACTATGCTCCAGTGTTCCACTTGGCTATTCATAGTCATACCTCAAGATACAAATTCACTGTGGCTTTTTGGGATGTCAGGGTCATACACTGGAACATCATAAATGCTACTCATCAGTTCACTTATTCACAGACTGAAGGAAGAGGACATTAGGACCTGAAGGTTTTTCTGTCCATCTAGTCTGATGTTCAGTATATACTTTGTTGAATAGCTATGGTAGTGAAAGATTGAGGGGACTCACCAGAAAGAATGAAAGAGAAAAATCAATAAAGCATCTTGAAAATCATCTGTGCATGGAATGAAAAATTATAGGTGTAGAGTAAAAACAATTTTGTCTATATTGGAAAAAGTCTTTAAAAACTGGTTTATTTCAAAAGTTGGCAAGTCATACGTACTGGTCATGCACGTATGATGTATCGCGCAATGGTCATTGCTATATTAAATCTATTATGGAATAATGTAAGCCATTACATTAACTCATGGCAGGTGATTTTTAAATGTATAAAGCAGGTATTTTGTTTGGCGTCTTAATTAATAGATTGACCAATGTCCAGCTAATCTCAACAGACGTGAAACTACAGCATAAATACTAATTGAATAAGAGCCCTAATGTATCTACAAATATTAACCAAATTATTGATTCATTTGGGGTAAACATTTGTATTTAGAAATCTTTAGTGTTTGGTTTATCTTTATTTAATCTGGGCTTTTGAAAGGAATTCTTTGAACTATTTATACCATATTCTGCTGTTACAACCCTACTACAGTGACGAATCTGTCAGTCAGACGTCTATAGATGTGCTATATCCCTGTTAGATGTAAACATGATCAAATAAAACCAATTTTAGCTGAATCAATTCTGGCTATGTAGTAGAAGGAAGATTTGTTAAAAGTAAGCACAAATGAAACAATGCAGAAGATTATGGGCTGTTTGAGTTTTAAACAAACACCTTGCTGTTGTGAAACATACAGAACCACACATATAAACCACCCTACCTTTTTACATTGTACACTTATTATAGCATATTGATCTGCATGGCTGCTTAATGACAGTTATATATATATATATAATCAACAGTATTCATATTTGATCCAAATAACAGCTAAGATTGTTTAAACAATGTACTATTGTTTGGTTTTGTAGATGAATACATTTGTTTTTGGATGCACTGTATTTGTTAGCAGGTTAACATCTTGAAATAACAGATGACATCTCAGGTCGCCATATTTTCAAAATTTAATTATAATATGCTACCATCTGCTGGCTGCTGGGCAGTGTAGACCAAGCAAGTTTGCAACAAAATCCAATCCAGATGCCTGTAGATACTTAAGTTTGTTTTGTCTTCAAGTTGTCTGACTTTCCTTTCATCAGTGACTTCACCAAGTCGTCAGTCAAAACCATCAAAATACACAGTATATGACTGCTTACTGCATGTAATTTGTGCATTTTGCTCACTTATAAAATAGCCATGCATATCATATACTTAATACAATCGCCTTATACCACAAACTAGACAAACTCTACATACAAATCTGCATGAATATTTTTAAAATTTCCATCTCAGTCTTAAGGATTTAAAAGTAAGAATAATGTCCAGTAACTTCACATTTTAATTGCCATTTATCTAACAACTAATCAGTCAAAGAAAATTGGAGAAAGACTTTCCATTATTCATAAGAAGAAAATCAACAGATTTCATAAACAGATATCTAGCATAGTGTTGTCTATGTTATCCAAATTAACGTGGTATCAGACCCGAAAATCCTATAATACCCTGGTAGTAATACACCAAGGTGCCATTTGAGGAAAGAAACACCCAGGGCAAGGTGTGATCTGTGTCACATGGAGGTATATTAAAACTGCAAATATAATTAAAGTCCTTGAGAAAACTCTCTGACAAATACTTTTTTAATGCTTCTTTTTGAAAAACATGCCCATTAGCTAGAAAAAAAAGTGAGAACTCAAATTGCAAATATGTTCTTTCTTTTATCCCCGTGATTTCCCACAGGCCACAGCTATACAAAATCCATAAAACATAGTTCATTTATTTCAGTTCATCAGGCACATGTGATCATGTGGTCACAGTTCATATGCGTGCCTGCCTGTGAAACAAACAAACAAAAAACTAAAACAGTAATGAATGTGCAAGATTTACAGAATTTTTCAGGAGAGGTTACTTTAGTGACAGGGCACCAGTCAAATACCTGTTTACCCCCCTAGGTCTGACCACTACCTTCCTTCAATGCCAAAATATATCTGAAAGACGTCACAACAGCCTTTCTCATTTAAGAACTGGTAGAGCTGCCCAAGGTCCATGTGATTACCTCTGTTCCCATGGGGGTCAAACACTGCTTCTTCAAAGCCTGAGAATTTGCGCAGGCAGTCAATACTTTCAACGTTCCTGCTGTCCTCGCCCTGATGATCAAGGGGAATATCCTCTCTATGTCGAATCATGATCTTCTTCCATGTCAGAACCTTCACTCTGTGAAATGGGAAAATGTTTTTTAAAAATAATAAACCTTGCACCTCAGTGGGCTCCTGGCTGTAACATCAGCTGCTAAAAATAACAACACTCAAGGTACCTGGACCAGAACTCCTCGCAGGCAGACTGAGAACCTTCAACACACACAATACCAGGCTTCCCAGGCATGCTAAATCCTGACAGGCCCAACTCCTTGGACCACTCCAAGATGTTCTTCCTCTTTGCCTTGTTGTAGATGTGGTGACTGTAGATCCACAGTCGGCTGAACACTTCCTGTGACCGTGACCGTGGAGAGGCAAACTCTTTCTTAGGAGCCGGTGCTGTTGACAAGCTCCTATTGATGAAGAGGTGCAGATTTTCTTTCACCCAATTCACTGCAGAGAGCACACATACTTCCCCCTGGAAGTTTCCTATAAGGTATGCACTGAGATCTGCATGGAGCTGTGTCTGCTGGGCCCTGTTGAGACTGGCACACCTATGGCACAAACAAAATATGCTGTAAGAAGGAATTAGGGAAGATTCAAGGCCACTTTGATATGGAAGTGTTCATCCTTGATGGCAAAAACCTCCAACAGGAATTTTAAAGTAGCTAACATTTGCACTATGATATAGAACAAAATAACTATAACAAATCTTCAGGGGGTTAACAGGCTTACTAATTAAAATGAATAACTACCCCCAGTATAACATGTTTCAAAAGCATCATCTCTTCTCTACTAAATCTTTCTCAGGATTATGAAGGTGATGGATGTGGTCTGTGTCAGTTACTGGCTACCTGATTAAAGCGTACAGGAAGAGACTGTAACTTATCCTCCCAGACTGCAATGCTCACTAGCCATGAATAGAGGTGAACACATGTCATCCTTACACAGATCAATTATATTTGTGGCTTAATAATTCCATAAAATCACATACATTATATTCAAAAGTGTTCCTAATATTCTGACCCTCTCATGTATGTTACCAGGAGGACAAAAATATAGACACATCTAAATATAAGGTAGTCCAGTAGAACACCACCTTTAACTATGGCCTCAATAATAAACATGTAATTGAATGTATACTCTTGACAATTTCACCAAAACCCGGCACATTCTGAGCTTCATAAACAGATCTTAAGGTGGAAGTGTTGCACTGAATTGCATACAGGTGTACCTAATAAAGTGGCTGGTATATGTGCACATTTTATAGTTTTTACAAAATAAGTGAACTAGTTACTGTTTTGCAGACGTGAAGAGCTAAACACCTTCACCACACATGTAATGTAAATTATTGGGCTATGTGCTTTTGTTCTTTTATTCAATATACTTCTGTGACAAGGTCACAGTTTAGTCTTAGGTGAAGGGTAAATGGAAAATAATACTATGTATTTGTACTTTAGCTTTGTGTTTTTATTCCTCCCAGACTGTTCGCTTTCCCCCCAGACACAACACACACACACACACACACACAGTTCCTAAACACATCTATACGCACACAATCTCTACTGATAGACACACACAGCCTGTTGCCTACACAGCTTAGCTGTCTGGGCCCAGACACCTATCTGAAAGATACCTATGAAGATCACATACCTAAGACACTTCTGTGATCGGTTCCAACTAATGGGCTGATAGCTGACAGGTGTTATACAAAACCTGACACTCTTTTTCTTGGTCACTCTGCAGACTGCATGACATTCTGTATGACTGACTGAATGTTCTTGGAAGAAATAAAATACATAAAGGCAACTTGGTTGTTCACTCTTTATTTCTTCAGACTCATGTTAAAAATTTCCATCACACACGTCAAAGTGAAAATGGCTTACCGGATTGTGATCTCTGGTAACACACTGGGATATTCAGATGTATACGCACAGGACAGAATGACATCCGTCTGAGTGGAGTAATAATAATAATTTTAAAAAAAAGGACAAAAACAATTGTTTTACGACACTTAAATCACAGCGATATATCATGACAGTCTTATTCATCTACCATCTCCGTGCTTCCCGTGTCCAGCTTCTGTTTGATGAGAAAATGGGGTCTGGAGGAAGGAGGGCTGTCTCTTGGAGCTGAACCCTCTACGTAGGCCCTCAGTTCAGCTAGTGCCACCTGGTCTGTGACCTCCAATTCCTCCTGGGTGGGAAACATACTGCTCAGCAGCTCTAGCTCTGCAAGCTGAGACTCAGCCCACTCCAAGTAAGACATGCTGATAAAGACAAACCAAATCTTCACTCGATCTTCACCTATACATAAAAAACAGTTTTAATACTGCTCTCTGTCTACAGTCTCAGTGAGCATTTTGCCACCTATCATTTCGGCTAACGCTAGCAAATGACAAGTTGCTTTTCATGTTTCACTAAAATTGAACAACTCGTAAAGTCTGAAAAAATAATAACATATATTCGTATATGCTATATATAGAAAGCTGGACATGCACTCTAATTAAACATATGGACAACTTCAATAGTCATATCACTGTTGCCTTAACTTAGCCCTAGCAAGAAACTAAGGCTTGTTGCAACTCGGACTGTTTCAAACGACGCACACAGGAAACCCCAAGCCGAGCAGCTGAGACTGTGGCACCATCGCGTTTTGTTCCCATGTTATCTGCATCTGTAAGCTTTGGTTTTTGGGTCAAATCACCGAAGTGATTTTTGCGAATTTGAAACTTTATAGACCGCTTTTCTTACCCGAAGGTTTTCATTTTACGGCTGGAGTCAGTAAACCATGTTAAATATGTCAGCATATTTCATCCACACAGATTAAACGAAAGTGAAAACCGTGAAGGTTTTAGGCTTCGACTGTGACAGTAAATTGACCTGACCATGCGGATGGTCACGGAGATTAACCTGACATGACTTACTTTTACTCTTCTGGCACTGACAGTACAGGCACTAAATATTTTTAAGCAGCCGTATAATTTGATATAGCTATTAGTCCAAGCTGGCGTTACTTCCATTTCTCTCTAATTGTGCATAGGTAAAATGGGAAAGAAAAGGGGCAAGGACAAGAGCTCCAGAGAGGACGATGACATTAATGTGACAGGTAAAGAATATATCAGCTGCATTTCATATGACAACCTGTGGAAGACCTGGGGTGAGTTTTCCTCATTGTGTTCTATTAATGCTTTATCTTCATAGCTCCATCCTGCAGGCATATTAAGAAAGGAACAGACCAAACTCTTCTAAAGAAACTTTATGGGAATTCTGATTGGACGAGTTGCCAGGAATGTAAACATGAAGAGAATAAAGAGATTATCGTTGCCACCCTGCCACAGGACTCGGAGGAGGAAAAAGAAACAGCAGCTGTATGGATGTGCTTGAAATGTGGCCATAGAGTAAGGTTATTTGGCCCATTTTATCATTCTGATTTCAACAGGCTTTGAAGTGACTATCTTTCAAATGACAACATACCTTTTTCTACAAGGGATGTGGACGAAACTCGGAGAACCAGCATGCCATCAAACATTATGAGACACCTCGGTCAGATCCGCATTGCCTGGTGGTCAGTTTGGATAACTGGAGTGTGTGGTGAGTATTTTGCTGTGGTGTGTTAATCCCAGAGGCATGCTCTTTTTTTTCATGTGCCATCACCCCTGCAGGTGTTACATATGTGATGATGAAGTTCAGTACTCCAGAACTGGACATTTGGCTCAGCTAATGACCAGCCTAAAAAAGCAAACCTCTGCAGAGCCCATACAGAGACCACAGAAAAGTAGGTCCCACTGGTGATTTTATCATCAGTCTATCAAAACACAACATTATTGGGATTTCATGCCACTATAACCATGCCCATTATGTTGTGTTTGATTATTTATGAGTGAAAGAGGAAGACTGCTTGTTGGATGTTGAAGAGAAGACAGAGACTGTAAAAGCAGAGGAAAGTGAGGACAAGGAAAACGAAGACCACCAAAAGAAAAATGCCAAGAAAGAGAGTGCTAGGAAATCACAACAGTCCAGGACAACCGAAGACAAAAGTGGTGTTTCTGTTAAGGGGCTGAGCAACCTGGGAAATACATGTTTCTTTAATGCAGTTATTCAGGTAAGATTGTGCCTTATGGAATGCCAGTGCTGAACAGAATGTGAGAAGATGTCAATTGTAGAGTCATTATTTACAGCTGTCATTGTCTTTTCCAGAGTCTTTCTCAAACACAGCTGTTAAAACAGGTGCTCAACAAAGTGACAGAGGAGAAAATTAATCTTAATATAACACCTGTAGCCTCCTCAGATCTGGTATGTAGCCATTATTCTTTAAATGTTTTTATTGCAAACACGTGCTTAATATACACAGTTTATTGCTTAAAAGCTTGTTTTTATTATGATTGCAGGAGCCCATTGAAGTGCAGTTAGACCAGCCTGGATCCCTGACTTTGGCTATGTGTCAGCTTCTCAATGAGATCCAGCAATCCAAGAAGGGTGTAGTTACACCGCGCGAGTTGTTCACGCAAGTTTGTAAAAAGTGAGTGCAGCTACTGATTGGTGTTAAACTCAACTTTAAGATGCACTTGAAATGTACTTCCTAGCATCACAGCATCACCTCATACTTGACCTGCAGGGCTGCCAGGTTCAAAGGATTTCAGCAGCAAGATAGCCAGGAGCTTCTGCGCTACCTTCTGGATGGGATGCGTGCTGAAGAGGTCAAAGTAGGGGTTGAGTTTAAATAGCCCATTGATGAAATATTTAAAATGGCTATATGTTACATGGCAGGATATTGGTTTTGCAGCAGAACAACACTAAACATACACATCAGCCAGCTGATAGGTATTGCACTGTGCACTTAATTTTATATTTAAGCTCATTTATGTCAAGTAATTCAGACTCTAAATTTGCTCAAAGTGAGGATATGTTATGCATGGAAATCAAAGAAATGTTACTAAATAGCTTTTTTCCTCTTCTTGACATTTGCTTTTCTTGAAAACTAGCCTGCTGGAGTAGCTAATTCCCACATAGCTGAGGTTTTGTAGAAGTACAGTCAGAATGTAAAGAGGCTAAATTTATTGAGATCCTGGAAAAAATGTCAGCATCTTATATTTGCTATGGTTTATTAGTGATTTTTATCATTTACATTTAAAGATTATGTTTGGCTCTACAGAGAGTAAACTCAGGGATCATGGAGGCATTGAAACAATCTAGAAAAAACATAGATGGAGACCAGCTGAAAACACTTGTTAAAAGTAAGTATAAGGGCTATAAATGAATATCTTGTAGTTGATGTTATCTGAGCAAAAACAATTTTTGAGGCATTCTGCTATAGTATAAAATCTTGGTATTAATAATTAAACGAAACCCTCTGACAATGAAATTCCGATTGCAGAGTACGAGAAAGATGGATTTCCAAAAAACTTTGTGGACCAAGTTTTTGGTGGGGAAATGACCAGTACTATAATGTGTCAGCAATGTAAAACGGTATGCAATGTGGACAAAAATGTAACATTACCGGCCAATGTCATGTTGACATCAAGCTAAATAGCCACTGCTTTGCACTTACAGGTGTCTGTAGTCACAGAAATATTTTTGGATCTTTCCCTTCCTGTTTCTGATGAGGTAAAGCTCTTAGGAATATTTTTTTGTTAATTTTTTGTGTTTTATCTGAGTTACACATATTGCCTTCTTATGCCGGCACTGTACAGGCATATAGAAAGAAGAACCAGAAAAAAGGAGTTCAGAGGACCAGTGAATCGAGCCTGGATGGCAGAAACAGCCCTGCTCTGACCAATGGAAATGATGACATTCCAACTGGGGCTGGTAGCAAATACCAGCAGAAGAAAGCCAAGAAGCAGGCTAAAAAGCAAGCAAAGGTACCTCATTGAACACATACAGGGAATGTTTCCTGTTGCCTTAACTTGTCTCTTTGATGAATGACTGTTGAATCATGGTACAGAATGAACTAAATAGTAATAATTGTTCCCTTGCCTTTGCCTGCAGCATCAAAAGAGGCAGCAGAAACTTGAGAGCAGAGTCAGTTTAAACGGTCTCGGATCTCCAAGTTCCACAGAGGACAAACAGACAGAACCTCCTGCAGATGTAAATGAATTGGAAAATGATGACAGTGTGACACATGATGGAGACTCATTGAGTGATGGAAATCCTGCACAGAAGATTGCTGCCGAGCAGGAACTAAGGAACCTTGGCACAGACCAGGCTGAGAAAGAAAACAAAGAGGACGAAGATTCAGTGACTGACTTCAGCTCATCAGCTACGACTTCGGTCAGCAACCCTTTTACTGTCTTATCAGAGGAGCACAGCTCCAAGGATGACAAAATATCTGACACAGAACAGGAAGGAGAAGAGGACACAAAGCTGGTGAGTGAAATGGAGAAAGTAACTCTGGATGACGCCTTCATAGAAGACACCGATGATATGGAACAAAGCATAGAGATTGAAGATGAGCCACTGGAAGCCAAAGAGTACACAGTAATAAATCAGGACCCAGAGCTGGCCTTCCACACACTGGCTACCAGAACGCCCCCTGAGAAACAGGAGTGTTCAGTGCAGTCATGTCTGTTTCACTTCACAGAAGTGGAAGTCCTCACGCAGAACAACAGTCTGCTGTGTGTCACCTGCAGTAAACAACAACAGAGCAAAGACAAAGCTGGAGGTATGTGGAGTTCCTCTCATAATCATATTTGACCTACCGTTAATGTGCTTCCTGCACAAACTGAGCATGTTTGTGCATTAAAGGCTTCTAATTAGGCCAAATAAACTGTGGCTCTTTTCTTTCCCCAAACTCACTTTCTCAATTTGTGGATCAATACAGTTCATTTTCTTTATTTGTGCTTTGTTTAGAATCCAAGAAGAATATCTACACTGATGCCTTGAAGCAAATCCTCATCTCTTCTCCCCCACCAGTGCTTACCCTTCATTTGAAGAGATTTCAACAGGTAAGCCAGGTGAAGACAATGTCAGCATTTTTACCTTTGATCCTGTTGATGGTCAAGCCAAGCTGTTTTTATTCTCACAACTGTGAACAAACTATTTACGAAGCAGGACCTTTTTTGCTATTTGAATGAAATCACTTTTGTTTTCCTCTAGAATGGATACAGTATATGTAAGGTGAACAGACATGTCCAGTTTCCGCTGGTACTGGATCTAGCTCCTTTTTGTGCAACTAAATGCAAGGTAAGTAACAGAATTAAAAGCATTTATTACATATCACTACTCATATAGGCCCATTTGTAAATGTGGCTGTGTTGTTAGAGTCTGAGCACTCACAGAATTTTGTTTCCAAACAGCACGTGATAGAGGGAGATACTCAGATTTTGTACAGTTTGTATGGTATTGTAGAGCACAGTGGAACAATGAGGTCAGGTCATTACACAGCCTACGTGAAAGTACGGCCTGAGTGCCCTAAACCCTCATCCAGTGGACTTGCAGCAGAAGGTAGGTGTACTCCAGTGTTGCTTTCAATAAAAATAATTCTAATATTGTAAGTATCCTCACTAACTGATCATGTTCCTTTGGGAGATGCAGAGCCACCAAGAGGATCCTGGTTCCATATCAGCGACACAAGCGTTCAACCTGTGAGTGAGAGTAAAGTCCAGAGTTGCCAAGCCTACCTCCTCTTCTATGAAAGAATCCTCTAATTGAATAGTGCCTCACTACTCAGGAAATCCAGGCAAACCAACCTGCTGTTGCTTCAGCTCCACTGTGTAAGGGATCTCAAACACTTTACCAACATTTGCTTGATTTGTCAGCGAATCAAACTGGGCTGTGATGAGATGGTACTGGTTACAATGAATGGACATTTGACAGTGTTGACATTTTCATCAAAGTGGTGCGACACTATGTTTTTCACACTCATAAGGCCAGGTGTGAAATGAAAATCAATATGGACATTGAACAGATTGTGATAGTTGATTTGTCAATCAGGATGAGACTATAAATGGAATTTGCTAAAATAATTTGTAAAAATTTGTTTATTTTTAATCAATAAAATTCTTCAAATGACTTAAGTTTTTACTGTCTTAGTGTTGGGTTTTTGACTCTTGCAATGAGCATGCGCAGTAAATGGCCATAGCGTTTCCTGGTCCATGTAGTCACATGATGAGGGAGAGGATTGTCTGACTCCAGATGGACACAATCGTCTCTACCCAAAATTTATCGGTGGCAGTTTTACCCAGCTAACATGGCAGGTCAGCGAAGAGTTTCATTTTAAAATATTTACTGTGCTACTATTTTCGAAGGAGTTTTTTTTTTTCGTACGTTACCAAACAGACTGATATGTTCGCTCGTTAGTTCTAGCTAATGGTATGGCCTAGCATAAAGCGGTGTCATTTGCATACTATTTTAGATTAATATATTAATATGCTGTTGTAAACGTTGTCATCCTTTTGTAACATAACATATCTTCTCAGTAACGTTGAGTATTTTTCGTTACGCATCTCCAGCAGGCCCACTTGGCTAACCATGAGTCAGCATTTTAAAATTGCTGCCCAAATGCAGCCATGCTGTAGTAACTCACCGATCATTTACTGTAACCTAGACTTCTGAATTTAGCTAAAATGCACAATGTTTTAAATGCTAAGTCAGCCCAAAGCACCGAAGACTTAAAGTATTACAGTATTATAATAAGATAAAATTATTACATTATTGCATTTATATTCGCCTTGAATGAGCAGGTACAGTTACAGTGTCATGTATAAAAGACGCGTCATAGGTTCAATTGACTCTCCTGTGACCTTTTACTCCCAACAACAATACTATAGCTTATGATTGTGAGGCTGGGTTGTTATTACAGTAAAGATAAGTTAGTATACAGTGGTTTTACACAGCCTAATCATAAAACCTGTTTATTTGTTATTTCATCTTAAGTGTTTTATTTGAAATATCCCTCCAGACGTCCAGGGACCACCCATACTATGAAAATATATTTTGTAAATCTAGCTTATATGATTTTGCATCAATGCATCCTTTGCTAAAGACAGGAATCCTCCTAAAGACAGAATCCACTAGGTCAGCAACAAGCAATTAATTATCAGTCTATGTTTGGATTATTATCTCGATTAATCATTCGCTCTATAAAATGTCACAAATTGTTTATTGACCATCTTAAGTCCAAGGTCACATTATCATCCGTTTTGTTATGACAGACCAACAGTCCCAAGATATGAAGATATTCAGTTTACTGTCATAGAATAAAGAAAACCTGAAAATACTCCCATTTGAGAAGCAAGGACCTGTGAATTTTCAGCATTTTTGCTAAACTTACTTCAGCTTAATCAGTTTTATGAATTGTTTGCTAAATGCTGATTAATTTGACTAGTCATTGCAGCTAGAATCCACGCTGTGCTCTATTTTGACAAATAGCATTGTGATCATGATGCTCTTTTGACTCCTCTCGCTCCCTCTGTCACACAGGCTGAACATGTAAGAACCATGTCACCCCAAGCTCCTCGCATGTCAGCGTTCACCTTTCAGTCAGCAGTACACAGCGCCAATGTTCTTCAGTGTCTGAATGACCAGAGGCAGCGGGATGTCCTGTGTGATGTGACAGTGGTGGTGGAAAACAGGAGTTTTCGGGCCCACTGCTCAGTCTTGGCCTCCTGCAGCGAATACTTTCACAACAGGTTTACCAGTGTCACCAGACAAAACCCCATCATCACCTTGCCTGACAAGGTCAGTATCCTGAATGATTTGTGGGGGGGTAGGGGGGTGGGGCTAACACTAAACATTTATAGCTCTATTGTTGAATATCTTGGTTACAGTTTTACAGGTGTGTTGAATTCTGTTGCTCTATTTTACATTTATGAATGGTCAGCTCTATACTGAAAAGATGTGATCCCCAAAAATGTAGCAGTCCTTAGTCATCACAATATCAATAATAGATTATCATAATGCACCACACAGTTTTTCTTCAAAAACAACCATGAAAAACACAAACACTGCTGGATTTGTTTCATGTCGAGCAGTACATAACTTTGTGTGATGTGACTGTTGGTCCGGTTTTCAACCCTTGTAATGGTATTCTTGCAGATGTATACATTATCATGTCAATGACAATAGTTCTATTAAGAATAATATAGTATTATACAGCTTTTTTTTTTCCTAAAACTGTGCAAGTCTTTGCTAGATGCTGCAGTTTATAATGGGTAATGTTATCATTTTATATGTCGTTTAAGAACACTTGAAGCTCCAAATTTCAGGGCAGGTATGTCCCGTTGAAGTAGATAATCAATGCCTTTCCTTGAGCTGATCAAGTTTTATTGTAGTTTTTTTTTTTTTTTTTACTAGCATGAATTTTGTTATGGTTCAATAAATTTGTTATACTATATGTCTTTCCCCCCCACAGGTGACTGTGGAGGGGTTTGAACCTTTGCTACAATTTGCCTACACATCAAAGCTGGTATTCACCAAAGAAAACATTCACGCCATTCACAGTACTGCTGAGTTTTTAGGATTTCACAACTTGGAGTCAGCATGCTTTGATTTTCTCATCCCCAAGTTTTCCGAAGGCAAGAGAACCTCACAGAGACATAGAGTCTGTTGTCAGAGCCGGGATCCCAGTGCCAGTATTGGCCCCAGCACTGAGAGCAGCCAACCAAAATTACTTGAGTCACACAGCTCACTGGCAAGTGATGAACAAACACAGGTCTCATCACAGTGTCCTCAGAGTGGACAGAGTCAGACGAACAGTGAGGAAGAACACTTCTGTTTGGAGAACTGCGGCCCACAAATGGCTCCCTTATCTCTGGAGTTAACAGGAAGTGGTGTGTGCCCAATGTTGTCTTCGCCATGCCCTGCCTCTGACAAAGTAGATCTCTCTCAGTTCTACCAAATTATAGTGGTAGGAGATGCGTGTGATCAAAGCGAGTTGAGTTTGGCAAACGGTGGCTTACCCTGTCAGCTGTCAATGCCAGGAGAAGTGAATCCACCAGAACTCGTTGAGCCAGCAGGCAGAGATGTCAAACAAACTGCTGAGATGCTTGGTGCTGAAACCAACTCTAACCCCAGTTCACATCCACTCAGTACATCAGGGGCAGAAGATTGCAGTGAGTTATCAGAGCAGAGCGAGGCTGGCCTTGACCAGAGAATGGCAGATGATCTCTCAGACCCTACACTAACTCCTCTAAGCCACGAAGAAAGATTTGGTCAGAGGAGCAGTGTGGAGAGGGAGGTGGCTGAACATTTGGCAAAGGGATTTTGGTCTGACCTGTGCCCATCTCAGACTCAGGCACTCCCTCTGGATCACACAGACCAAAACAATCTGACAAAAGCATCAGACTTTCATTGGCTTAAGCAGCTGGACCTGACCTCCAGTGCAGGAGACTGTCCCTTCCTCAGGGACCTTGGGCCAGGTGATGTCCCAGTTCCACACAATGACAGTCTGTCCCAGTCAGAGAAGAGCCCTTGCATGTCCTCCTCACCGAACTCTGGGGACGACTCAGACCTGGACACAGATGGAGATACTGAGGCCAACAACAAAAGAGCAGCAGAGGTGATTGTGCTACACAGATGATGTTTGCTTATTGGTAACTGAAGAGAGTAAGTAAAATAAATGTTACTCATAAACCATGTACTCTACAGATTCAGCTCCCATTCCCAGTGGAGCAGATATCTGCACTGAACCGGAGGGCCTTCCAGCAGCTTCTGAGACACCATCTCTTGACTACAGATCAGCTAGAGTTTGTCCACGATGTCCGTCGGCGAAGCAAAAACCGCGTGGCTGCACAGCGCTGTCGAAAGAGGAAACTAGACAGCATATGTCAGCTAGAATGTGAAATAAAAAAATTAGTAAGTTGCCTTTAATTTGTCTAATATTCACAATATGTTGTCAAACATATTGAATGTATTGTCTTTCCTAAGTACTGTGTGAGCTCTGTTGATCTTTAGTGGTGACTAGAGTGAGTATGCAGCAATAGAGAGCAGTATGCTAGGTAATTGTAGCAGAGTTAACAGAACTGACAGGAAGTGAAAGCATCTTGCCCCCTTCTTCTTTGAAATGCCAGAGTTTCTTTAGCACCTATAGAAAGATGAATGATTGCAGATTAAACAGACTATACCAGAAAACTCCAAAATTTCAAGTACTGCAGACTAATGAAGGAACATAAATAGAAGCATGAATGAAGAAACAGAAAATACAGTTAAGATCAGCTAAAATTTAGCTATTATTCGTTGAGCAATCCTTTCATTTTACAGAGCAATCTTCAGTTTTAAGTGTTTGTGCTTTGCTGCCGTCCTCTCTACAGAAAAGTGAGAAAGAGCAGCTGCTACAGGAGCGAAGTGAGTTGGAGCAAAACCTGCAGAAGGCATGGCTTAAGATTGTCAGCATTGAATCTGGCTCTGATCAGGACCATGTGCAGCTTCTTGACAAGTTCTCCTCACCACACTTTCCTATCTCATCACCTAGCCTTGTGGATAAAGATGAAGAGTCCCAGACTGCTACTGAAAGGGTAGGTGTTTCGTCAGAATGTGACCCAGCTGGTCCACCTGCAGACTCAGTTGACTGTGCTGTACCAGAGGCTGGTACACAGACAGCGGAGGCAGGTTCTCCACAGGTCTACCCTGTTCCCATGTCTTTGCTTAACACCTGTCTGGACATGGACAACATCTTGTAATTGGACTCAAATACCATTTGTCATTTGTAATCATGCAGGGCCATGGGGGTCGGGGGGATCTGACTATATACTGTAATCTCCATTTGTGATAGACATGCTTTCCTTGTATTTAATTGAATATAATGTTCTATCTGACAGATGTATCTTAGATTGACATAGAGACTTGTCAGCCTTCCTTTGCTGTTTTTATAATACACATTTCACGGCAAACACACAATTCACTATTCACTGATTTGAAGGTGCAGTCGATTTTCAGGTAATTCCTAAATGTTTCCATTTGTAAATGAGTCAATTTGTAAATGTAAAATGAAGTTTGTTTTCTCAGGGAATCTCATAACCTGATTGTGCTAAAATAATTCTCGTTGCACCCCCAACACACACAATGCACATGCAGTTTACTAGTTTTCATAATAAGACATTTCTTTCATTTCAAGGTAACCAGTCTATCATTAGACGTTTGACACATACTGTATTATTTCACCAGAATTATGTTTCCCTGATTAAATATGCACAGCACTAACAGAGCTTTTTACTATAGATTTTAGGGAATTGTTGCATCTTCTCAAGAGCATTATTTGAATGCCAATGCATAGTTTCACTGATTGGTATTTGGGGAATGCTTCTAGTGTTTTTGAAAGTATTACAAGGAATATAAGAAGTTGTTGTTTGATAATGTGCCTTATGCAGTAGCATAGTATGAATACCTAAAGATAAAGGCATTCTTTGTGTATTCTTGTCATGAGAACTGTTACACATTAACCCAGAGCCCTATTGATGACATTCTCCTACATTTAAGTCTGTTTCCACATATTTTTATTAAATGCTTTCATGGATTACAGATTTAAATAAACAACCTTTTGTTACTATTCAGTGTTTCTTTTGAACGCTCAGTAAGTGGGAATGTTTTCCACTTTATTGATGTACAATACCACAGTTTGGCCAGCAGATGGAAGCACAGCTTTGTTTACAATCCGTTTAATTAACGGACTCCAATACTGAACTGTTCCTTCTGCAATTTCTCTGCCAGAGATTGAGGCTAAAGCTTGAAGTTGAAAGGTTTTGTAGTTTTGAAGTTGTAAATTTTGTTTAAAAAATTTGAAGTAACGTGCTGTAGTGTAGTGCTGATGTTAGACTCTTCAGTCAGCATTTGTGGACATGACATAACCAACTAAACTTAAATAAAATAGTTAACATTCAAGAAGACAGTTGTTTTAGAATGACTTGTGTACTATAAACAAAATGACTCTGACCTAAAAGTCATGTTCTTATTGCACATGGTGGATTAAAAAATACACTAAATGCATTTGTTAGCTCTACAGTGTCATTAAGGAAGACTGGGCTTGAAAGGGGTGGGCAACCCCGGTCCTCGAGTGCCGCTGCCCTGCTTATTTTCCAACTATCCCTGCCCTACCCACTTCTGATTACCTGGATTAGGTGTGTTCAGTCAATCAGAAGCTGAAGGATATGATCTTAGATGATGGTGGAGTGAGGAAAGACAAAGTGAATTGGTAGCTTCCAGTTTCTCATTAACATCTATGTTTGCAAGTCCACATGTACAGTAGACATGTTGCTGTAGTTTCCTCTGGTACCACTAGGTGGTGTAGGTTGGACTGGCAGGTTGCCTTCATTTGCAGTGTAGATATAGAAGAAACAATATTCTGATGCTGACAAGTGTTGTGTGTCATCCTCATTTGGTTAAAAAAAATAGATTTCCTCTGTTTCTTAACATTTAAACCCCCTCTCAGCATAACAGCAACCCTGTTCTTGAAGAGACTACATGATTTTAACAAATGTAAGTCAGATAATATCAAATCATAGTACATGCCCCAATAATAATAAAATAAAAAACTGTATGTGGTGCTCACTTCTTCATTATTAGCTACCTTCCTCACCACACTATCATTTTTGCTGCTTATTCCTTTAAACAACTAGTTAAATGTATTTATATAATGAATAGCACTGTAATTTAATTACACTGACCCACCATGTTTAAAGATCCATCATCATTTTGTATGACTCAAAATTCATTTTATGGCTGGTTGTTTAATGTGTCTGTAGTTCTGGTTCTGCTGCTGACCTGAGTATGAGACTATGTCCTTGAGCTGCCAAAACAAAATTGAGATAAACATTTGTTCAGATTTAAGGGTGGTGGAGTGAAGCAAACAGAACACCTCTGTTAGGAAGCCCTTTTAAAAAGTTAAAGAAGATGTTTTTGTCTTCTGATTTAAATTTCCTACTTACATATCTGGATCTGGACAGTGCTTGCCTTGTTTTGTACTATTTTACTACTTGGGAACAATGAAAGATAAAGCTATCTCAGTGTGGTTTCCTCAGAACACAATCCTCAAGATTAAAGCAGTGATTACACCAGTAACCCTGAGGTAACAAATAAAACCCGTAGCTGTCTTTGAGAGGTTGACTTAGATACACACTGCAACTCTAAACTCAACAAGCAGTGTTGCATCAATAAGCCAAAATGATCACATGAAGATAATATCTTCTCCCCGTCATGCCATGAAATACTGAGAAAATTCTCAAGTTAATGCTGGTCAGAATTGGAATCACTTTCAAATTCCAAAGCATTATGAATTTAAACCTATTTTTGAATTCCCCTTACAAAAATTAAGAATCTTCCTCAGTGTTTGTGTCTTTTCTGCTGATTCTGGAGCAAGTAAGATTATCTTCTTTTACAAGCTACACAGGACGAGAGACTTGATTTGAGGAGAAAGCAGCTGTGTGGCATGGCAAGGTCAGAACCCATAATCCGTGGCCTCATTCATGCAAGATTATAAACCTGCTCCGAGTTCAGATTAAGAACACAGGGTTAGAAGATTAAAGACCACCAAACAAAATGAAAGCAGTTTAAGCCCAATCCTGGAATTCATCAGAATACCAAAACCTTAAACTGTCATTACAACATCAGATTAATGCAAAGCCCCTTTGAGCTCTGTATCTGTCTTGATATACTGTATCTTCTGTGCCAGAGCCTATATTTCTTTTTTCCCCCAAAATCTGGATGAAGATCTCCCACTTTGTTTTGTGCTGTTTCTTTCCACCTACTTCCTCTGGGATAGTTTTTTCTCAATGAAATAATCTTTTATCTGATGTAATTAAGCCCTTTTTATTTTTATTTTATCATAAAATACATAGTTTTACTTTTATAAAGTGTTAATGTTCCTATTACCTTTTTTTTTTTACTATGGTATGATTCCATTCAGTGTCAGACTGACTCCACAATACTTAGGTAATGAGGATTAAGAAACAGGAGGTGAGGGGAAAACAAAGATTAGAAATTTTAAACATCTGGGAAGTTATCTTACTTGCTAAATTGCTAAAGCAGAAAATATATGTGCTGATGGGTGTAGCAAACACTATTCTTTGTGGCCCTCATAGAGCTGACTTGACTTTTCCTGCAGGCTAAAACTGATATTCTTTTAGTGCCACAGATAAAAATGTTATGTATGTGGCCTTGTTTGACAAGCAGCAACAGCAACACTGTGGGATAGATTTTGTTTGATTTTGAACTGTCATCTTTTTTCTTTTTTTTTGACTGAGACAGTTCTGAACTGCACACCATAACGCAGTTCAGAAAAAACCTTAGAATATTAAAATCTGTTGTGCAGTGATAATATACTTGGCAGCACTGTATCAGCAGTAAAGTCCTACAAGTTCCTGGCCTCCACTATGTCCCAGGACCTGAAGTGGACGTCCAACATCAGCACCATCATCAAGAAGGCACAGCAGAGGATGTACTCAGGAAGCTCAACCTGCCCCAGGAATTACTGATACAGTTCTACAGAGGAATCATCGAGTCTGTTCTCTGCACCTCCATCACTGTCTGGTTTGGCTCAGCAACCAAGCAGGACAAGAACAAACTCCAGCAGACAGTCAGGACTGCAGAAAAGATCATCAGTGTAAGCCTGCCCTCCATGGGGGACCTGTACACCTCACGGGTCAAAAGGAGGACAGAGAGGATCACTGCTGACCCCTCACACCCTGGACACAATCTATTTGAACTCCTCCCCTCTGGACGGCGTTACAGGTCACTGTGCACCAAGACAACCAGGCACAAGGACAGTTTCTTCCCCCAGGCTGTCGCTCTGATGAACACTTAACCCACGACAGTTTGACTGGACAATAACCCTCAGTGCAATACCTGTAAATATATCTTGTACATATAGATCCATCAAATGCTTATAGACTGTGTATATAGTACTTTATTTTTATTCCTAATGCACATTCCTTTGCTTGATTGCACATTACTTATTTTCTTCTGTTCTCAGCCTTACATTGTTTACTTGTCCACTGCTGCCTTACATAAGGATATGTACATAGGCATTTAGAGCCGCTGTACCAGAGTCAAATTCCTCCTGTGTCCAACACACCTGGCCAGTAAAGCTGATTCTGATACAAATGGAATAACTGTAATGTCATAGGTGCATGCTAGCGATGTCGCATTGGACAAACACTTCTTTAAAAAACCATGGTGATATAGTGTAAGAATATAAAAATAATGTGCTCTACGATCAGTTTTCTACAGTGCAGACAGGTTACTTAATTTCTCATCTTTTCGCTCTAATAACAAGAATGAAATGTACTATGTAAATTGGTCAAAACAACTTTTTGACAGAGAACTCATAAGTATCACAATAATGTGCAAAACTTCAGGGTTCACTGGTGTAACCCAGGTGTGTTGTGGATGAAATCAGTGGCTTGTGATAATGTCTCCATCCAGTAAAGGAAAAGGGTGTACATGCAAAGAAAGGGAGCAATCAAAACCAAACCAACCAGGAATGACAGGGTTAGGGACGTAATGTTCGCACAGAAATGTAGTCATTCTCAAACAATCACAACATGATGAAACTTAAATGCATGTTCATGAACATGTGATACAAAATAAATTATAGACTTTAAGCAACTTGATGAATAAAATTTATGGGGAGCACTCATTCAGAAACACATTGGAAATAACAGTCACTGAATAAATCAAAAGATTTTTTTGGAATACGTGAAAACATATGAAAGTGGTAAGAAGTCGTGCTGTTATGTCAATGTATAAATATGAAATCAGTATAAATATGAAAACAACTCTCAAAGTTACTGCAGTTATTGAAATGATGCCTCAGTGATACCACTTACTATCATTTGCCTGCAATGTCATGGTCTGACTTTCTTTTTTTACCCCGCACAAAAAGTGCTACAAGTTACAGTGTTTTGCAAAAATCAGAAAGGCCAAGATGGTCAAGTGTCATGATGTCAGAAGTCAACAACTGTCTGTCATCATAAAATGGGATTCAAATGTATTCTTCCATTCAAGACTAAAATGTTCATGTGCTCTACATCAAAACTACAGAAAAACACTACACTCTGTTATAAAGTTAGGTTTTGATTGTAACTTTGCAGTTCAACACATTCAGACTTGGCCCGGTGATTACTGTGGTCCTCTGAAGACAGAAATGACAACATAAATGTCTAGTAGGTTCGTAACAGTCTTAGATTGAATCCCCTACTGTATTAATACTTGTTGTGCCATTCACACTGGCCAACACTCACCTCCTCAATGTCCAGGTTTTTTCTGGATTTGTAAATAAACTCTCCAATTGCTACAAAAACTGAGAGCACTAGTCCAGCTGCCAGTACAATAAAGATTCCCCCTATGTTCTCTACACCCAGGGCGCTGGCCTCTTTGCTGTCCTCCTCTGGGCAGCCGTTCCCCCTCCACCATTTCTCCTTCATCATGTGCAGCTTCCCTTCCTCCTGGAGCTGTAAGATGGCAATGGTGACCTTGTCTCTGTAAGGGGAGCCTACAGTGGGGAAAAGTAGCCAGATAAAAACATGGCCTTTGGGTTTGCTGTTTTGTAGCAGATAGGATATGTTTATTTGTTATTGTTATTGTGCAGTTGGTTACGCTTCTCTCTTACCAATTGGGGTTCCAACACCATAGCCCTTTGAGTCTATCAAGCCTCCAATCTGTGTGAGGTTACAGTTACGCTGGCTGATGTACTCGATGCTGGTCGACTCCATCAGAAGAGCGTAATCTGTGGTGAGCACCCTCTGGATCCCCTCCCGGTTGTTTTTCACCAGCGCTGTGTTTTTCCTGCTACTCATGAATGCCCACATTTTCTCATAAGTTGAGATCTTAGATTTCTGAAACCACAACACAGAGGTTTACACAAAACAGATAATGGTGATGTATGTTCAGTCATTCATGTTTGTGTCTAATACATCAAATTAAATGATCTGCTGACTGGAGCAATCGTGCATGGCTAAGTAAAAAGCTTTTACCTTTCAAAAAGATTGCATGTGACAAGTGTGCACACATCCACTCAGGTTCATTCAATTTTCTCTGTACTTTCAGATAAACTGGTTACTGTGTTACAGGCAAAAGGATAAATCATTCCAGTCTTTATGGGAAAATTGTCCATAGTTTTTTGTTAAGCCGATGTTTGTTGGACGGATGAGGACATTTCTAAGATACTAACCTTTAAGCTTATTTCTTTTTCCAAACTCCATTTTATGCCAAACCCACTGGACAGCACATGTCATGTTACCGTAATGACTGAGGACTGATGATTCAAGAGTAAAAACCTGTCAGGCTAATTAAATTCAAAAGCGGTGTTCAGGGTCGTACCCTCCTCCAAATGTTGTAGAGATACTTTTCCATTTACAGTACAGAGGAAAGAAGGTTACCTTGAAAAAGGTCATGGTGGAGCCGTCCCTTACAGCACCGTACTCTATTTTGGTTTGCT